CCCCTTAGCTCAAGGTGTGGATCCGCCACTGATATGTGCAAAGCGTCTTTCATGTTACCCATCAAGGAAGAGCTTAAAGTTGGGGGAAGCCCCCCATTGGGGGTTTAATTTAGGGCCTCCCTTGGGAAATTTTCTTTTTTAAGCCCTGTAAAACCAAGCAAGGAGGAAAACACTATTTTTCGTTTACCTAACTAGGATTTAAAGTGTGGTATACCCTTCATTTATACAATGCTAATCTTAAACTCAGAAAAGGTCAGCGGTGGAATAATAAAATGTGAACTGACTACTAAGAAAAGAATTCAAAATCCAACAAGAAATTAGTCACATATTTTATACAGAGCACAGATGAAAAAACCACTTCTGTCCCCATAGAGTAGAGGAAATAAACGTCTGAACACCGGATAACGATTACAGATGTCATGCACCATATGGGGCACCCGCTCTATACTCAGATGTTTGGAATACATTCCGTTTATACCAGAATTGGGATGATACATGTAGTAGCTGAATCAAACAGGCACGGGGTAATTCCAGAATGAGGTCAATCAAAGATGAAATGCACACTAAGTACAGTTGTTGGGAATAAGCACAAAATTGTCCTGGCTGTTGTAACCTTTACATAGGCTGCAGATAGCAGTAGTCTACATGAATGGCAAACTGCAATAACATTGTCCCTAAATTTGGATTTAACTTGCTCTTAGGAGCAATATGCTAAATGAATCATTACAGTGCAGTGTAATGCTACTTAATACAGTTACATACTTAAGGCATTTTCTAATTTTATTTTGCCATAACTGTCAAATTTCTTGCATGATCATTGGCTGATTTCTATTGTCAATTCAACAATTGATTCATGCTTTCGCTGGTCTAGTTCCTGAACTCTCTGTTAACTTCTACTCTCTATTGAACCCTGGTGCAAGAGGAGAGAGTCAATGATACCTTGCATTGATATGTTCAGAATACAACCATTTTCGCCCCTAAAAAATAAAAATTAATATAGAAGCGTGAAGCTACTAGGATCTGATGACATAATGGAGGTTCAGTAATAGGGGTTTTTCTGTGGTGAACCATATTTTAGCTTAGTCATCATGTCACATTACGCGTAGTCTCGATTTCCGCCCTTCTCTCGGGGCTGGTGCCCGAGTTTCCTCCCCAAGGGGGAAGAGTCCGGGCTCCTTTCCGGAACAGCAACTGGTAAACGAGGCTAAACATCAGGAGGAGCCTGAGAAGCGATTGGGGGCCTCAACAAATCCTCAGGCAAAAGTGGTGGACTTGTTTATTGAAAATTTTAAACGTGCATATATCACATAATCATACCTTGATTTAGGCTTGGTTTAGCTTTTACACCCGTTTTTAGTCATTCTTGCACGCATAGCAACTATTTTTCGGCATGCCATCTCTCTAAAATTTAAGCATAACTGATTTCTCTACGGTGGAACTCAAGTTTAGTCATGAAAGATGGATTTATTTGACATCAAACTTAAGTTGAGAGTATCAAGAAGTCATTCTGTGAGAGTTGAAGCGACTGATTTGATTGCGGACCAATTTAACCTGAAGTCACTACTCAGACTATTGAGAGCTGATTGACTGCACTCAAGTCGTTTGAATTATATATCCCGTAAATTGGGAAACATGCAAGGTTCCCAGGAAAAATTGCCTATTTTGCAGTTTAAATGGTGTTTCAGCCGTTTAAATAGCATTTATTCTCCGTTATGCATGTCATATGAATACGGGTGTAGTGAATCGAACCCAATCAAACAGTTTTTTAATCGAACTCAATCGAACTTCATCGAACTTAATCCGTGGATTAAGCGATTGTGTTTGGTACTCGAACAGAATGGAACTCACACAAAAAAATTGTACAATCGAACTCAATCGAACGTTCGATTTTCGAGCTCTTGATTTTTGTTAAAACTGCTGTTGAAAATCAATAACAAGCTGTAGGAGAATCTTGTTTCTCCAGTATACCCGGGAGTGAAGCATTTGTTTTTGGTAAACGCAGAAATTTCGGCGGAGAAATGGCTTCAGGTGCGCTGTGGGTTGTTAGCTTTAAATGCGTTGTAAAAGGCTACCAGGATTGCCACTTTGACGTGAAAGAGCGAGGATGAAAATTGCGACGTTTTAAAGACAATAGCCGAGAAAGGCCGAGCTTTTCGAATTGTAAACGAACACGGACAATTAAGTCACCGTCAACGTGAACTGGTTGCTTCCCTGTGGCCTGTAAATGCTTCGATTACTTGGTAAGTGAAGAAATAGATTCCACCGAAATATACTGTGAGGATAGGGTATATAAAATGAATAATCAGTATCTCTGAAAAGGATGAGAGAAACCTGTTTTCGATGACCTTGCTTTGTATGTATAGGTTTACCAGAGCTGGGGTACAGTAACGAAGCGTCCAGACCACATAAAGTAAGCCTTATTCAAGCGAATTTATTCACCGATCCAACTGAACGTGACCTCAATCCTTGGACTGAGTTCGATTGAGTTCGGTTGCCGAACTCAATCGAACACAATCTAGTTGTTTGAGTTTGATTGGGTTTGATTTGTTCGATTACGGGTTGAAGTTCGATTGGTTCGGAAATCGAACTCAGGCGTCAGTCGAACGTTCGGCGTTCGATTTGGTTCGATTGCCGAACTTAATCGAACTGAATCCATGGATTGAGTTCGATTGAGTTCGATTTTCCAACGTTCGATTCACTATGCCGGGGGATGTAATAAGCAAAAATTTAGTTGTGTACATATTACAAGGAATAACGCGAGAAAACGTCATCTTGACATCATTATCAAGTAAGAAATTAAAAAAAAATACTGGTGAGGTGCGGTTTTTTTTATGTAAATTATGTACAAGTGAGCTATGAATTTTTAACAGAGATATATTTGTGATATTTAACATTATTCGCCAAAGGCGAATTAAGTGAACATTGGTGATTGTTTTAGTATAATTTTCAGAGGTGAATATCAAGGGCTACAAAATAACGGACTAAAACGTAAAAACACGGACGCAATTGCTCATGTGCACACATGTATGCAGGCGTAGTTTACATGTACATCGATTGTCAATCAGTTTACTCATCGAAATCGGCAGTAAAACAAACGAGCAAAACACTTCGAAAAATAAATTGATCCGGTACCTTTGCTTTATCGTTGTTGACTTCATTCACAGTTGTCATCATCGCCTAAAAATGAGCAGCTTTAGTTTGAAGGAAAATAAATTTCGGTCAATCGATCTGACCTGCTTGCGATCGACGCAACCACTGCGTTTACGATTCTTAAAAGCCTTGAATACGAGTTCTTGAAAGAGATTTTTGGTCCAAGGGCGACAGCAGTCATTTTGAAAATATTCTAAATCCTTTCAAATATCCTGGACTTGAAGTGATGTCTTTCGAATAAACGAAAACTTCATTCAGCAATTGTCCGCCATGTTTACTTGCCGAAATGGCAAAGATGGCGAGCTTAGCAACCAAGTTCCAGCGGGGTGAATATAGCGTCATGTGATGAGCTTTTCGACCAATCAGAATATCCAATTCTTATATTGCCTCTGGAAATTATACTAATATTTGATATTTTGTAATTACCACCTAGATCCGTCTTTCAAAGGCAAGAATGGAAGGAACTTACTGCACATTGCTTCAAAGATTGGTAATGTCGCCATCATCGAGATAATGCTGTCACGTGGTTTTGATATCAATTCAAAAGATAGTGATGGTGACACTCCCTTGATGATCGCGGCTTTCACTGGCAATATGGAGGTCGTAAACTATCTTTTAGACAAGGGAGCAGATGCGTCTTTGAAAGGCCAGGATGGAAAGAACTTACTGCACTCTGCTTCAGAGGGTGGTAATGTCGCCATCATCGAGACAATGCTCTCACGTGGTCTTGATATCAATTCAAAGGATAGTAATGGTGACACTCCCTTGATGATCGCGGCTTTCTCTGGCGAGATGGCGGGCGTAAGCTATCTTTTAGACAAGGGAGCAGATGCGTCTTTGAAAGGCCAGTATGGAAGGAACTTACTGCACATTGCTTCACAGATTGGTAATGTCGCCATCATCGAGATAATGCTGTCACGTGGTTTTGATATCAATTCAAAAGATAGTAATGGTGACACTCCCTTGATGATCGCGGCTTTGTGTGGCAAGATGGCGGCCGTAAACTATCTTTTAGACAAGGGAGCAGATGCGTCTTTGAAAGGCCAGTATGGAAGGAACTTACTGCACAACGCTTCCAATGGTGGTAATGTCGCCATCATCGAGACAACGCTGTCACGTGGTCTTGATATCTATTCAAAAGATAGTAATGGTAATACTCCCTTGATGATCGCGGCTTTGTGTGGCAAGGTGGAGGCCGTAAACTATCTTTTAGACAAAGGAGCAGATGCGTCTTTGAAAGGCCAGAATGGAAGGAACTTACTGCACATGGCTTCCGATGGTGGTAATGTCGCCATCATCGAAACAATGTTGTCACGTGGTCTTGATATCAATTCAAAAGATAGTTTTGGTAATACTCCCCTGATGATCGCAGCTTTCTCTGGCAAGGTGGAAGCCGTAAACTATCTTTTAGACAAGGGAGCAGATGCGTCTTTGAACGGCCGGTGTGGAAGGAACTTACTGCACAACGCTTCCTATGGTGGTAATGTCGCCATCATCGAGACAATGTTGTCACATGGTGATGATATCAATTTAAAAGATAGTAATGGTGACACTCCGTTGACAATCGCGGTAGTTCGTGGTAAAGCCGAAGCTGTGGAGTATCTTCTCAGCAGGGGAGCGCAGTAGTTTCTCTGGTCATGCGCTTTTAAGGAAGCAGTCTTCTACTTCATAATACGCCCTCATTTTTGAGACGGCACATTAGCAGTTAGTTTTTACGCGCTCAATGTTGTGAAAAAATTAGTGAGAAATTTTGGTTACTTGTGTAGAGTTTGAGCTCACATATTTAGGGTTATTAAGAGTGTTGCTCTGATAGCTGTATTTGCTCCTCAAGGAGGAATAGAATAATGAATTCATTATTCAATGTAATGGAACATTCAAAGTTCACGCAACAATGATTTCAGGATATATCGTTTATCTGTGTTCACAGAGAGCAGAGGAACTAGTGATCTACAACATTAAGTATAGGTTTTCATGAATTTTCCTAGTCAAATATATCAATTTCAATATTATTAATTTCAAATTCCCATAGCATATCGCAAGACTATCACGTAGAATGAAGTATATGTAGTTGGTAGAATGAAGTAACAGTTGACAGTATCTAAATTCCATAGCACCCAGTTGATTTTCAGAGTAGTTTCTGTAATCTGTTATTGAACAATTATCCTGTGAAATAACCTGGAATACTGTATGGTACTTCACCGACGAGACTGTAGGCTCAGTGAGATAATTAACTAAGATTATATTCTGCAAGATTGAGCGAGAAGACTCTTTTTATTATACAACAAACTGTCAAGGAGACGCATTTTTACAATAGATGGCGGACGATTCTTGGCAAATTGTATATTACAGGAAGCTATAGAATATATAACTGAAGAGTAATTTAATGTGCTGGAAAATAAGTACAAGTATTTCCTTTTAAACATTAGCACTAGAAAGGAAATGAATACCACTTGAAGCAAAGGAAAACTGCTTGACACAAGCGCGTCTCTGAATTAAATCACCGTTGCTCTGCCGACTGAGTTACAAGGCCAGACAGTGGTGGTTGTACCCAGTCCCATACTCTAGAATTAATTCTCTACTTTCCAGTTTGTTATATAAGCGCAGCAGTGCATTGGTAATTGTACCCTTCCCTGAGGTGGCACTTTTGTACTTTAACAGAAAATGGCCCCGATGGTTTGTTTTTTTTCCAAAAATACTGAAAGACCTGAGGGTACATGCAAGTCAAGTTTCAAATTTAGAAACAGCTAAAGCTTGATATGTTAGGAAAAATAAGGCCAGGAAAAAAAATTCGTGTGGAAGGTAGGCTAGCTAGTAATCCTTAAATCCATGAGAGTGCGATGCTTTTTATTCCGGCTTTATTTAACTGTGGATATGGATATATATGAAATTATTAATTTTGAGGACTTTTAATAGATTTGTTTACCTTAACAGAGTTTTCGTAGATTTGTAAATGTTTAGTCAGTGTTAGTGGATTTGTATTTTTTAAAACGGATTTTAATTTAGTATCTTCCTTTTTTACCAGAGTTTTAGTATATTTGTATTTTTTGAGCAAAGTTTTTGTATTTGTATTTTTTAACTGAAAAATAAAACGAGACTTACCTGTAAGTTGAAGTTTGATTAAGATTCTGAGTCACTGGTCGGGTGCAAGGGAGTCACGCGAGATATGCGTGCGCACCTCTGCGTTCAGACTTCAAAGAAAAAGACATACCGGTCACATAGAAAGATGGGTAGGGTTATTAAATAGCCTTACTTCAGAAGCAAACATGTATCATGATACAATGTTTATGACAGGGTGGGCACTTGACTCCCTTGCTCCCGACCGGTAACTCATAGAATCTTAATCAAACTTCAACTTACAGGTAAGTCTCGTTTAATTTTTCAATTCTATTTCGTCACCGGTCTATGTCACAAGGAAATCACGTGAGAATTGAAAGCATGTGACCGTGAGAAGTCGACCATATTTTGACAATAGCAAACCAGAGTTTTAATCACACCTTATGTTTATAAAACAACCTGGTCATAAACATGAATAATGCTTTGTGACAGTCACTCTGTAAACAACTGGGGTTAAATCAAGTACCAAGCGTACATAACGACTATTTTTGCAAAGCAGTAAGCAGTTTTTGTCCAAAGTTATCTGCCGGTTTGAAAATTGCTTTGTAATATTTCATGAAGGTATTTTCAGAGTACCACCCAGCACTGTCCATGATAGTGGTTATTGAGAGTTTCTGAGCTTTTGCCGCTGAAGTTGATGCAGCTCTCGTGCTGTGGGCACCAAAGGTGGATGTATCTATACCAGCAAGCTTTAATTCGTGTTTCAACCATCTACTAACAGTGTCCTTGGAAACTGGCCTGTATGGTTTCTGATAACTAATAAGTAACTTTTGATGATAATGCCTTATCTCCTTGGTCCTCCAGGCATTCAGAGATATACCTCATTACACAGATTCGAGGATCTTCATCGAACGAGAGAAATTCTAGCTTAGTACATTCTTTACCAGGCTTAGTGGTTTTTAATAAATCATTAACAATAAACATAACCTTGCTATTAGAGACTTTCATGTTCTTTGTAGTCAAAGCATGAATGGCCTGACAGCGTTGGCCTGACAATATGGCCATTAACATGACTTTTTTTAGATGAAAACAATTTTAAAGATAAAGTTTCTGCAGGATGCAGAGTTTTTAAGTGTTCAAGGACTATATTCACATCCCAAACTTCCTTGTATTTAGGTAGGGCTGGTCTTGTCGTAAATGTTCCCTCAAGAAAACGAGAAACAAGTGGATGATTACCAAAGGACTGGTTACCCCGTAATACAATGACACTGGCCAATGCACTCCTCGCAGTGTTTAACGCACTGTAACTGAGCCCCTTGTGGTAAAGCTCGGCAAGAAAGTTGAGTCCACTTGCTACAAGAGGTGAAATTGAATTAATATTCCATTTACGACAAGTCGCTGTCAAAGCTATTGATGGATCGAATTATACCACCACCTTTGTTGCATACCAAATAGTCTTTAAGTTACTGTAAACGCAATATGACTAGAGCTAGCAACGGGCACGCACTACAAATATAGCAATGGCCCGCCTTTACTCGAAAACAATTACGCGAAATGTTAGTACCCAATCTACCTCTCAGACTACTCATGCTCCCAAAACTCTGTCACGTGACATCACGTCCTCAAACTAACACACCGGGGCGCGATCCATTCAACCAAAATTTCCGGGCTGAGGTTCGAAAATTTCTTGGTGGGAATGGATCGCGACGCGTTCGGACGGTCTCGTTCCATGCCGCTCGCAAAACGAGTTTCCCGCTTATTTAAAATGGATGTTGGATCACTGTTGCTCGTATTAGAGCAAGATGACAATTTCGACGGTGATATCAATGATATTGTGTGAGCTGTTTAATGCGTAGTAATTTGACCCGTATATTGGGCTATTTTGAGAAGACCGCACGAGACCGTTCCCGGATATTTGCCGTATNATTCAACCTGAAGTCACTACTCAGACTATTGAGAGCTGATTGACTGCACTCAAGTCGTTTGAATTATATATCCCGTAAATTGGGAAACATGCAAGGTTCCCAGGAAAAACTGCTTATTTCACAGTTTAAATGGTATTTCAGCCGTTTAAATAGCATCTATTCTCCGCTATGCACGTAACATGAATACAGGTGTAATAAGCAAAAATTTAGTTGTATACATATTAAAATGAATATCAACGCTAGAGAATGTCATCTTGACATCATTATCAAGTAAGAAATAAAAGAAATAATGGTGAGGTTCGTTTTTTATACAAATTATGTACAAGCTGAGGTATGAAGTGATTATCCTGACCCGCCTCGATTAGCACTGTTACCTGCGGAGCCAGGGGATTAAGGATTAATTGTGAAGTAGTAAATTATTGTTGTTGTTTGTTGTTTCTGAATTTTAAACAGAGATATATTTGTGATATTATTTGATATTTTGTAATTACCATCTAGATCTGTCTTTGAAAGGCAAGTGTCAAAATGAAGATAACGTACTACACAGTGCTTCAAAGGGTGGTAATGTCGTCATCATCGAGACAGTGTTGTCATGTGGTCTTGATATCAATTCAAGAAATAGTCATGGTCAAACTCCCTTAATAATCGCGGCTGTGTGTGGCAAGATGGAGGCCGTAAACTGTCTTTTAGACAAGGGAGCAGATGCGTCTTTGAAAGACCAGTATGGAAGCAACTTACTGCACTCTGCAACACAGGGTGGTAATGTCGCCATCATCGAGACAGTGCTGTCACGTGGTTTTGATATCAATTCAAAAGATAGTAATGGTGATACTCCCTTGATGATCGCAGCTGTGTGTTGCGAGATGGAGGTCGTACACTATCTTTTAGATAAGGGAGCAGATACGTCTTTGAAAGGCCAGTATGGATGGAACTTACTTCACCACGCTTCCTGGGGTGGTGATGTCGCCATCATCGAGACGATGCTGTCACATGGTTTTGATATTAATTCAAAAGATAGTGATGGTGACACTCCCTTGATGATCGCGGCTTTTAGTGGCGAGATGGAGGCCGTAAACTATCTTTTAGACAAGGGAGCAGATGTGTCTTTGAAAGGCCAGTATGGAAGGAACTTACTTCACCACGCTTCCAAGGGTGGTAATGTCGCCGTGATCGAGACAATGCTGTCACGTGGTTTTGATATCAATTCAAAAGATAGTAATGGTGAAACTCCATTGATGATCGCGGCAGCTGATGGTAAAGCTGAAGCTCTGAAGTATCTACTCAGCAGGGGAGCACGTTAGTCTTTTTCTTCATATTTGCCGTCATTTTTAAGATGGCACATTAGCAGTTAGTATTTTCACGCTCAATGGTGTGATAAAATTAGTGAGAAATTTTGGTGACTTGCGTAGAGTTTGAACTCACATATTTAGGGTTATTAAGAGTGTTGCTACGATAGCTGTACTACCTCCTCAAGGAGGAATACAATAATGAATTCGTTATTTACTGTAATGGAACATTCAAAGTCACGCAACAATAATTTCAGGATATATTGTTTTTCTGTGTTCACAGAGAGCAGAGGAACTAGGGATCTACAACATTAAGTATAGGTTTTCATGAATTTCCCTATAGTCAAATATGTCAATTTCAATGTTATTAATTTCAAATTCTCATAGCATATTGCAAGGTATCAGTATGTTTAGTTGGTAGAATGAAGTAATAGTTGACAGTATCTTAATTCCATAGCACCCAGTTGATTTTCATGGTAGTTTCTGTAATCTGTTAGTTAACAATTATCCTTGAAATAACCTGGAATACTGTATGGTACTTCACCGACGAGGCTGTTAGCTCAGTGAGTTAATTAACTAAGACTATATTCTGCAAGATTGAGCGAGAAGACTTTTTTTATTATACAACAAAGAGACCATGTTAAGTAATTTTCTGCTCAAATGTCATACCCTGATGCCCTTCTTATAAGAACCTCACTGAAACCTCTGCTTTAAGTCATGTTAATTCTTATCCACTTATTATATGAAACATGCAGCCATGTATAAAGATCTCTCCTTCTCATCAGATGTAAATGGAGATACAGCGTCGCCATCCTCTTCAGATTACACAGAAGCAGTCAGTTACAGAAAAGGAGATTCAGCAACAGCTGGACCAAGAGGTTTGTGTTTCTTCATGTACAATACATACTATACGTACTGACTTTGTAATGGAGGTGTGGACTGATCATGGTGCAGAAGAGTAACAAAGCTGTTTAGGAAAGTGTTTGATTGACCTTGTTCTGGAATAAGAGTATATTCCAGATTATTCCAGAGTAGCCATTCTGACCTCAAATACCTCAATAAAACCCCTTAAACAATAATTTAATTTCTGGAATAATTTAATCCCTGGATGGATTCTCCTTCAGTGATACATTGAGCTGTTTGGTGCTGTATAAAGGTTATATAGCAAAGGTTTATACCTAGACCATTTGTGAGTACATGTATCAAACTCTATCAGTGGATCACAAAATTAAAATCAATATTGTATATTAATATAGGTTTAATTGGTCTACATCAGATTTGCCGGAGGGCTTTCCGATATAAATTTCTTTTGATTGTCTGTACTGGGGTAACAACATGTTTAAAGCTCAGGCACCTAACTACCTCTTTTTCTACTGCACCTGTGTATATTTTTCTAGTATACAAAGAAATTATAACTATTGATTTTTTGATGTGACTGAAAATACTGCTTCCAGTGTTGCAATCACAGATAGAGATTGTCTAAGATTGTTTGGCTACTTACTGTTGATTAAGAAAAAAAATAACACGACAGCAGGTGGCGTTGTAGCGCGAGCAGTAATGAACTTTAACATTGCAACTCTGTCAAGATTTTATTAAGGTAAGAGAGTGAATCAACCATATAGGTCTTCTAACTAAGGTTATCCCTCTTAAGTTATTTTTAGACATTGTACCCATTTCTTCCACGGATAATACTCGCGCATTGTGTGGATGTTTTCGTGGAGGATCCGTTTATGTTTCATTTCGTTTCATTTCAAAGCAAATGAAAACCTTTAACGCTGTGGGGATGTCTTCTGTGATATTTTGATTACAAGCAAAAGAGCTTCGGCTCTCAGTATGTTTTAATACATTTCGAAACTTTAATGGGAGTTCAAATAAGAGACAGATGTCCCCTACACAAACAATAACAACTGAATGAATGGCAAAGCAATGAGTAGACAAACGAGTGGAAAACAAACAAACGCCCAAACACAAGCTTGACAACCGAATAAACAGATGGTCGAAAGTGCAGGAAGACACTTGCTGCCCAAGTAGGAAAAGCAGTTTAAGCAGCAACGGCAACAACACCAAAGGCAACATCGATTAAAAGAACGACTTAGTATTCAACCTACGAATCTCGCGAGAATTCAGATTCATTGAGTTTGTCTATGCTGTCAGAAATATCCCAAACAGAATATGTAAGAAAGTGTCAAAACTCGAACAAGAAATTTTAAAAATTGGCCATTGTATAGTTCACGTTCTCTCTAATGTGCGGAATGTGGCTATTTCACGTTGTTGTTTTGTGGCCTTTTATAAACAACGGCAAAGAAATGAACAAAGAGTTATAATGCATGCTTACACAGCCATTGTACTCGTTGCCGTTGCCGTTAAAGTTTGCTTAATTAAACTCCCTAAAACCGAATAAACAGTCAAATGTTGAACAGCCAAACAAGCACAAAACAAACAAAAGCCCGGCTGAACAAAAAGACGGCTAAGAGTGCAGAAAACGTCTCTGCTATGAAGTGAAATCAAAACATATAGGATGACGTTCTCGCTGTTTCGTCTCGGGTAGTTTTGAGAAAGTCGCTTGATTATACTACTAAACTCTTCAACTTAAGAGCCACTGCCCACAAATATGGACCAAACAACGGCACAAGTCGAAAAATCGATTTTGCTCATTTTTTGCCCAAAGATTGGCCCTAGCTAGAGAACAAACGGATCATAGTTAGTTTCTGCTAATGCAGCTTTTTTTGGAAGAAATTTGCGAAAAACGATTTCGCCCCGATTGAGCTCAAAATCTACTTCCAGTTATGCTGAATTTTCTGGAAATTTGATTGCTTCGCACGCCGCACAACAGCTACTTGAGAACCTTTCAATGGTTTTTAGATTCAGCTCAGGTCTTCATGGTATGACTGAGGGAAAAATAAAATAAATCGAGGTTTCGTTTGAGCCCGAAACGAGATCGAACAGAAACGCAAAATCTTACAATGTGTTGCAAACGATTTATAGCGCTAAAATATCACCATATTTTTCTATGGGCTATAACTTTAAATGCTACAAAAACACTTTCTACGGGCTAACTTTACACCCACCTGTTTGAAAATCAAAAAACATCTCTGGGCAAATTGTTTTAAGTCGCCCGCCTTGGCCTGTGTTTTTCATAAAATTTCCCCTGAACCGCCGTGGGAATGTAAACAATTGCGTGACGCGGACGATCACCCTGAATATATAATTCGTTTCAATTCCAACAAACTGCAGATGGCTATCTTAGAACATTTGGGTGAAAAAAGAAAAACATAATGGACCACTTTT